ATGAGTATATCATGCTACAAAATGAACAAAATGGAATAGATTATCTATGGAAAGAATCAGTCTAAGTTAGTAGTCAAACGCATGTATCTCAACAAACATTAACTCGCAAGCAGCTAAACTAATAAAAATGCAGTAAATCCTGATGGACACATTGTCTAAGATTGGTGGAATATGACCAGATTTTTCCGAGATGGCAAGCATCGATTCAACAGGTTCACCTATAATTTCCTAAACCACATGCAGATCTTGAGTCTGAATTGCTCATGATGAAGCCACACGGGTATACTGATAACCTCAAGCTTCAAGAGTTTCGTGTCTAATCAGTAGCACAATGTGTCCATAACTGCAGTTTCTCATTAACAGTAAATGAACAAACTACTCCAAGCCCTCTACAAACAAGACTACTGACTACAGATGTAACACCTATGGATCTAACAAAGAGTACCCCTGTAATGTAAAGTTGCTATCCGTAGTTTTTTATCTTATGAAGCTCACAAAACAACACACTTTACACTGCAATTCTTGCGAAGTGACTTGTAAGATACCTCACAAGTTACATTATCTAGTTGATGTGCATCTATTTCCACATTTGATGACTTTTTGGACTGGACTCCATAGACTTTTTTCCCTGTGATGTCACAATCATGCTGGACCTGTGGTGATGGTAATCCACTTATTCAAGATAAACTAGTCAAGCATGCAGCAGTTGCACATGCGCTTGTACCTGGTTGAAGCCGCCCTTAGGAATATGTGCAATCACCGTGGCCATGGCAGTCCACACGCGGTGGTATTTTTTACATTTAGCGCAATCCAGTCACGTGGGTGAAAAAGGTCTATTTCCACATTTTAGAAGTATCTGTGGGATTTTTGCACAGTAGACTAAATAATGGCCTGTAAGGAAGCTTTAGAAAGGATTTATTTGAGGAATTAATTTTCATTAATACAACCAATTTGAAGACAGGATAGCATCTTTAAGAAATGGTCATGCAAAGATTGTGAGTTCACATAGTCAGGCAGTACATGAATCCGTGCCATGCAACAGAAACAGAAGGTCAATTGAGTTAAAATAATCATGAATCATTTCTTCAGTATAGTTATCTCTGGTACTTGACTTGATTGAATTTACGACCTGTAGAACCTCACTCTTAAAGGTGGAAAGTCATCAATTCTTTGTAAAAGGCAAAGGCCTCAGTCCAATTCCATAGAGCAACTGGCTACCAAATTCATCAAGGCTAAACATCAGGGTCGAATCTTGCACAGCTTTTCTTGACAGTGGTTTATCAACCATTGCTCATTGTTAAAAATGAACTTCCACAAAGTACACATGGTACAACTGCCAATGCTTTTGCAAAGGCCACAGTACTCACTGCCTCTCACATAGGGTAACAGAAATGGTACACTGTCTAATGAGTTCCTCCCATTACAGTGGTGAGTAGTGTGAGAAAGATACAGAGGGATATTCCAGGGAGTTAAGTCTTACCAGTTTCACATACTGTCCCCGTGAAACCTTCTGGGCACACGCATGTGAAATAGCCAATACCGTTGGTTCGACATGTGCCTCCGTTCAAACAAGGTGCCGAGTCACAGGGATCCTTATCTGGATGGCCAGTCAAACAATAAATCATTCTCCACTGAGTTCAAGACCATCCTAACTGTTTGAAGTTCTCACTGGACAATACCACTGAATACTGTATCATAATCTTACCACTTGAATCTAAGCATGAACTGTGTACGAAGCAAAACTTCAAGGCTTACAACTCTGCGTGTGTTAAGTAATAAGCAGGCAACAAATAAATTGATGACAAGTAATATGGAGGATTTCTTAGCAATAAAAGAGACAAATGTAAGCATTCTTCCTGAGGGTAGCTCTCACACATTCCTAACAACTGTCATTAATAAATGGAATCCCCTTTTAATATTCTTTACCTTCTGACCTTGAAATTGTGTCCATGTTTAAAGACATACAACTTTGAAGGTAAAGCAACTATCCTTGTGTGGACGTTCAGAGAAACAGTGACAGTAAGATATTTCTCCAGTGTCAATATAGACAGGGTTCATGCTAATTTATGATAGGTCCTGACAAAGCAATTTTTCTCAACTAAATAGGTTCAATTTAAAATTACAATAGACACTCAGTTTGCAGAATCCTGACTGCTCCTGTACCTATTTTACCAGCCTTATACAAGTACATCACCACATGCGCAATTGCTTTATTTCTGATACAAAAGTAAAATCTAGAGAAACAAGAATGTTTTATAACTTACAGATCTCACAGTGGACCCCTGTAAAGTCTGGTAAGCAGGTACACGTATATCCCATTCCAACTTCGAAGGGTGTACAGGTGCCACTGTTTTGACATGGGCTAGAGTCACATGTGGTTCCCACTGCAAGGAGTATAACAAAACACAAGAGTGCTTACCGTCAAATCCCTATTCAAAATTTCAAGCGAAAACAATCTGAATGCCTCATCAATCAGATAAGTTTAACTAGCTTCCAGATTTATGCACTTGTATGTGGTTAATACAGAAGCACGTGATTAACCCTAACTCTCCTCAATCCTTCACCTGTTGGAGGACTGAGGAGTGTTAGGGTTATTTAAGACAACCATCAGTAAATTTGCATGGTATTAACCCCTCTTTCAGAGATGGGCAACGAGGTGACAGGATAGGCCAAGTTGAAAACTCTCTGGCATTGTCTAAACACTAAATCTAAATCTTATTGCTTCTCTAACTTTCCATAAGCTTAATAGATTCCAAAGTGAAGACTTACTAAAGATTATGGCTCACACACTGTAACATGATCCAAATAAAGGGAGGAATAAAACTGAAGGTGAACAATACTTCAATTTTGTTCCAGTAATCTTATTTGTGCAGTTTTAAATTCATCAAACAAGATGACAACGCTGTGTGCATCTGTACTATTACCATAGTAAAATATGTCGCCACAATCTTCAGATATTCTGCTCAAAGCAAAACATGCATGGCAATTTTTTTTTTATCTAGAAACTGCAAATATATGCTACCAGCACTTCTTGCACACCTTTTTATACTGTCAAATAAAATGAGGTTTAATGAACCCTGAAATTATTGGATCAAGTAAGTGTAGCAGTCAGGCTGGCATCTACCACTCGATCTCAAACATGATCTACAAAAGTCAATTAGCTTTAAACTGGTTAGTGTCTCCTGCTCTTGCCAAGTCTACCTCGTGCGCACTGCTCACACTGTGCATCCTCCTCTATCTTATCGCGTCTCCTCCTTCTATACCCAAAGTCAAGCAGGTATATGTAACTAGACTTCTTAGGTGTAAGATGCATCAAGGGACTAGAAGCACGCCAGAGAGGATGCAGTAACGATGGGCACCAACTTACCAGGAACCAGTGTTTGACAATGTTTCCCTGAATAGTCGGAGGTGCAAAGGCAGAAGTATTGGACCTCCGATCCATGTTCTCGGAAACATGTTGCGCCATTTTGGCATGGGTTTGGGTTACACTGGTGCGTATTATCAACTGATTAAAACGAAAATATGACAATGACAAACAAGTTCATGAAAATGTAACAGGTTTAATGAGAATCATGAGACAGACATGCCCTCCACATGAGCTAAGGACAGGTTCCATGGAGAAAAAAATGGAACAGACAAATTAGTTCAGCTTATGTAACGTGATGGTTTAATGTTGGATTGACTCTCTTAATCCCCATCGGCTAAAAGTAGTTCACCTGACCATGTGAGGTAAAAAGAGGAAATAAAGATGTAGTGATGGATAACCTGTGTTCATGCATTCTCATCCAGACAGCTTTGTGGAAGTGCGAGAATGTTGAGATGAGAATGACAACCTTAATGAATCAGGTTGTTAATTGCATGAGGAACCAAGAGAGAATGGTAGACAAAAATAAAACAAGTGGACAAAGGGAACATAATGCAAGGCACATTGGAAAAGAGAACAAAACTGCAAGTGTAACAGGTCAAGAATGCAACAAATACTAATATGCTCCCAACCTGAAAAACAAACAAACAGACGCCCCAACAAACAAACAAACAAACACCCCAACAAACAAACAAACAAACACCAAGATATACCTAAACCAACATAAGTAAACATATCAAAACAAAACATAACCAAACAACTTACAGGTGATAAATATTTGTGTTTGTATCTGAATGGTCAAGTAGTGCATCAGAAATACAGAACAGTAAAGAGAGCTGACACTGGTTCCAATCCTACTTGTGTGCTGCTCAAGTTTTTCTTCTTGATGGATCTTAATGTGATTTTTTGTTGTTAGAAAATCCCTTTTCCCAGCAAACCATTCACCCAAATTAGTTTGATGAGGCATTCAGTCCGCAATGCATATACGTGCCGAACACAGGAAATAAGTGTCTCAAAATAAAAAGCCACTTTAGCACTTGAAAAGTTCTTACCCGGAGTGTTGCATCTGTCACCCGTGAACTGGTCTGTGCACATGCAGGTGAATGTTGTCATTTGGCCTATGCAGGTTCCTCCATTTTCACATGGCTTACTTGCGCAAATTTCTGAAAGTTGCAGATATTGTGATGTGCCCATTACCATCAATTCATTCATTGAACCCAGTTCTGACAAATCAGTGATGAAATCCACCACCTGATATGGCTTACTTTTGACAAATTTGGGTCTGGTTAGAAGGGTATAACACTGCTTGACATCCCATTTTGCACAAGACACACAAATCTTGGAGCTGCACTGAATTACTGCCACACAAACAAAAATAAAATGAAACATTAAATAATCTTTGACTCCAGTTGATTTAACAGTTTGACTGTGGGTGACCGACTGACAGGCTAGCCAAAATAATATTGAAAAAATTCAAAGATGGAGTTCTCCATGGACTCTTTGTGTAGAAATGCAAATATTGAGGCCATCCCATTGAAAAAAAAACAAGTAAAATGGTTAAGAAATTTTCCCTTTATCACGAGAACAGAGACATCAATGAATCAACCCAGTCACTTCATGTACTAGCCAATTTCATAGGAACCAACTGGTTCATCAATTAACTGACTAATTTGTCAGCTTTACATCAGTCTGTTCAGTACCATGTCAACCTTTCACAGGCCCTTTTGTCTGAAATGATGCAACCCTCCTGCATCGAGCATTGCAATTAACAAACCATGCAGATACCATCACCATAACAACAACAGCCCACTCTCTGAATCGGAAAGAATGAAATTAGGGACAAGACGTTTTAGAGTGAAAATCACTCTGAATTTAGACTGAAAAAGATGAAAATAGCCCCTTCCAGTGGAAGCTTGAGTGAAATTTCAATCTTTTGGAGTGAAGAAATTTCACTCCAATTCGTCTGGTCCTTAATTTCAATCGGAGGGATTGAGTTTCACTTGAATAGAGTGAATTTTCACTCTTTGGAATTTAGAGAGCAACTTGTCTCAACTGGAGCATCTGAGAATTGCAACAGCTGCAAAGTAAATAGCTGTCTTTTATCCCACACTATTTAATCCTGTCCCATAATTGAAGAAAGAGCTACTCTAGCTCAGCAAGCTTAGGGTCAAGACACATGCAGCAGGTGCAAAATCTAATAATTTTGTTTGCTGCAAAGAATATGATTTCAAAAGTACTCTTCTTTCCGTTTCATTAAGATTTTTTGCCAAAATGACTGAGGCCAGGAAGAAGTGTTGGTTCAATATGCCCAACCAACAGTTTCATTTTTTATGTTGCCTAAATGATAAATACATTTCTCAGCAAGCTCTTAAAAATATTCTACAGTAATTCACCTGAAATCTCACAGTCCAATCCGCTGTAGCCAGTGGGACAGTAACAAACGTGCACGAGGTCACTAACCTGAGCACAGGTGCCCCCATTCTGACATGGGTTGCTGGCACAGATATCTAGACAAACAGGTAAGCAAAGGTGCTTCCGTAATTAATCACTGTATTCAGCAAGAACATGTACCAGTTTGGGGGAGGTTCTCAAAATGACAAGATTCAGTTGAAATGCACAATTAAAACAAACTCGATAAAGTCATGCAACCCCCTCCTCAGAAAGTATTAGTGGCTGCTTAGATGTTTTCTTAAGAGGAAAAAGGTTGTTTTTCATACAGGTATCTTAACCATATATTACTGTCAAATGGTGTCTCTCAGAAATACTGATCTGGAGGAGGGAAACACCCAAAATGGGTTGAAGTTGGTTAGGCCACTTTTCATATCTGATTTTACTTTGGAAAATGTCAGCTTTGTCCTCATTTATTATAATGAAAATGGGCATATGCACATCTTTCAACATGACTGTTATTTTCACAGGCCCAGCGCATCTTTCCCCATTACTATGGTTGTTTAGCATAACAGCATATTCAAGAACAACTGCAACGCTTATCTTATCCTCAAGCATTAGAAATATCTCATTTGTTGGTAGCACAATCCTATTAGCCATTGTTGCATAGGTCTAACTGTCCATCCAGGATGCTTCGACTTTACAAGCTAGGAGGGGCTTTAGTGAGACCACCAGGGGGAAAAACAATATCAAGTGAGGAGTTAAACTGCTAGAATTGCTTTGAGTGGCAATTCTAAGGCAATGTAGCACAGAATTTCACAGGATATCACCGCGACAACACCCCAAAGGGCATATTTGTTTACTGATAGGGAGAGGGGAAACAACAGCTTGTCTACAGTAAATTTATACCAAGGTAATTCTAAGACAGACTAAATAGGACCAATTCCTTGACTCAAATGACTCAAGTGATGAACCTGAATCAAGACAAATCATTTTGTTTCATTTGTAAGCGAAAGCTCAGGGTTGAAATCAGAAGAATAGACAAAGTAACTGCTGCTTAGTTATTTTCCCATAAGTCACCAAAAAACCTCTGAAATCTTTTACCTGGAGGGGTTGCACAAAACTGTCCAGTGTATCCATTGTAGCACTGGCAGAAAGCTTGGTTTGCAGCTATTGTGCAATCTGCGTTATTCAGACATGGATTGGGATCACAGACCGCTGAAATGTGGCAAAAAATGAACATTTTCATTTGTAAAACGTTTCATTTTGACACGGATCAAATGCAAACCAACAGCAAAGGAAACCATCCAGGGATAACTTTATTGCAAACCGTAAGCACCGACAATATTTTTTATATGCGCATCTCTTTTCAGAGTTGTCTGTGGTAAGGGGAAGAACAGGATAAACAGTTTCCGGTAAATTGAGTAGCTTATCCAGCAGAGAAGGGAAGATATAAGGCAAAATGCTCAAAACAGAGAATTTATCGGTTTTCATACAAAAAGCACAGGACATATACAGAACCACCACGAAAACTGTCTTCTGATTGCGACTCGACAATAAAAAACCACAAGTCTGGCAGGCTTATTATTCCAAACATCAAGAGGATTGGCTTTTGCCAGCCATGGGTTAAGTTTAAATCAGATGGCTCACTTCTGGTAATCCAATTAAGTACCTGGAGGAATTTCACAGCGACTTCCTGAATAAAAAGGTGGACAAGTGCAACTAAATGTCGTCCCACTTGAAATACACGTGCCTCCATTCTGGCACGGTTGACTTGTGCACGGCACTGCAACATCATTAGGGAAAAAAATGCCCAATTGTTATTGTATACAAACAAGGAGTACACGACTTGAGAACACTTTCTTTAGGTTGAACGAAGATGTTTGCAGTTGCTTTTTGCTTGTATTCTTGATAAAATTAATGATTTCTGTAAAAATTGGAAGATTTAGCAGAGTTTATATAATCTGCATAAAGTATAAAATTTCAGTCAATGTAACAAAATAAAACCTTTCATAACAGCCATTTTGACGATGTCTGTACGTCATTAAATGTTCAGTCTCATAATATATTTGCACATGCGGCATGAAAACTGAAATGTGAAAAGAAAGAAACATGGGGAGATTCAATTTCCTGCAGCCAAATTGTGTAACTTAGTATAGATTGATATGATTTATAAGTGTTGTATTACCAGGAATTTCACAACGGTCTCCCACGTAGAGAGCTGGACAGTTGCAAGCAAATGTTGTCCCGAGTGAAACACACGTCCCTCCATTCTGGCAAGGCTGACCCTCACATGGACCCGTTGATACTGCAAAATTACCACAGTGTCTATGTGTGAAACAACTGGTTTATTTTGTAGATCTTTACAGGCAGTGATTACTTGCATCAATGCCAAAATTTTTTCACAGGAGATCTCTGTGTTTGTAGGGAAGGGGCATAATCATGCCATAATGTCACCTCTACCTGTTTAAAGTCGAGTGGAGTGGAGTTCGGCCACCACTATGTATTCATTTTTCCAGACTCTTTGTCTGTAAAAAGTGTTTCTGTGGCTAAGAAAATAGCAAAGAAAGCTGGTCTGTGCAATTAAAATTCAAGGAATAATTTTATTGATTGATATTATTTCTGTCGAAGAGGTTTCAGGATTATTCCAAAAAGGGAGCTACTGTGAATTAGAGTTTATAAAAGGGAAGGGAAATGAGATTTGTCATCAGAATCAACGGAACCACGCTCTTCCCCCTACAATCTTGCCAAAGATTCTAGACAACCTAAGAGGGTTTGGGATGACTTAATAAGAAATGTAGAAGTCTGTGTTTGAAAAAAATATTAAGATACTATGTGGCCACAGATGTAGACAAGATAAGACAAAAACATACCTTCACACTGAGTACCAGTGAAGCCAGTTGCACAAACACAAAAGAATCCAGTCCCACTTGAACTTTGGAAACAACTTCCACCATTCTGACAAGGTGACGGCTGGCAGGGATTTGACATATCTTTTAAAAATATACAAAATCATAATCAAGTCAACCAAACGTCCATAGCGAATTATTACCAAAATGAAGAATCACTAAAAACAACTGTTTAAAAGATTGCTCCAAGCAGCATTTATAAAATTTGCAAACAAATGGAAATTTCAGGAATTATCACAACAAATAAAGCTTTCCAACAGCCACATTTAGTATGTAAGTGCATCATTAAGTCTTTCATAACATATTTACACATGAGAAACTGAAATATAAACACCAAGAAACATGATGAGGAGATTCAATTGCTCAAACCATCAAAGATCTTCCACAAATTCCAGTTGGATATGTGTAGAGGATTTGGCAAGAGGACAGAGCCCAGCTCTGTTACTTCACATGGGGTAAGATGCGTGGTTGGTGCCAGGATTGGTCCCACAATGGGAGGAGGGCAAAAGCACTCATCAGCAGCAAAGTGGCAAACAATTAGCAGTGAAAGGGCGTTATGTGTTGACGGGCATTACCTACCCACTAACGTGGCCTTGCAGGAGGCCAGGATTGAATTCCTAGTTACCTATGGCACTGAAGACTAAAAAACTTCACATTCCGGTACGCATTCTAGGCAGCTCAACCACGAATATGCATTGATATTAAACTCACATCAACCCTTTTGTTTTTTTCCTCTCCAATCTTACCAAATCTTCTGGATAAAAACCTGAGAAAGGTTTCAGGCTACAAGTGGGTCTAGGATGGCTTGATAAGAAACAATATGAGACAACATACCGTTGCACTGAGTACCAGTGAAGCCAGTTGCACAAACACAAAAGAATCCAGTCCCACTTGAACTTTGGAAACAACTTCCACCATTCTGACAAGGTGACGGCTGGCAGGGATTTGACATATCTTTTAAAAATATACAAAATCATAACCAAGTCAACCAAATGTCCACAGCGAATTATTACCAAAATGAAGAATCACTAAAAACAACTGTTTAAAAGATCGCTCCAAGCGGCATTTATAAAATTTGCAAACAAATGGAAATTTCAGGAATTATCACAAAAAATAAATGCTTTCCAACAGCCACATTTAGTATGTTAGTGCATCATTAAGTCTTTCATAACATATTTACACATGAGAAACTGAAATATAAACACCAAGAAACATGATGAGGAGATTCAATTGCTCAAACCATCAAAGATCTTCCACAAATTCCAGTTGGATATGTGTAGAGGATTTGGCAAGAGGACAGAGCCCAGCTCTGTTACTTCACATGGGGTAAGATGCGTGGTTGGTGCCAGGATTGGTCCCACAATGGGAGGAGGGCAAAAGCACTCATCAGCAGCAAAGTGGCAAACAATTAGCAGTGAAAGGGCGTTATGTGTTGACAAGCATTACCCACCCACTAACGTGGCCTTGCAGGAAGCCAGTATTGAATTCCTAGTTACCTATGGCACTGAAGTCTAAAAAACTTCACATACTGGTATGCATTCTAGGCAGCTCAACCACGAACATGCATTGGTATTGAAACTCACATCAACCATTTTGTTTTTTCCTCTCCAATCTTACCAAATCTTCTAGATAAAAACCTCAGAAAGGTTTCAGGCAACAAGTGGGTCTAGGATGGCTTGATAAGAAACAATATGAGACAACATACCGTTGCACTGAGTACCAGTGAAGCCAGTTGCACAAACACAAAAGAATCCACCACTTGAACTTTGGAAACAGTTTCCACCATTCTGACAAGGTGATGACTGGCAGGGATCTGGCGTAATAGTCACATACAAAAATCATGACAAAGTCAACTCAAGACTTGCACCAAATCCCTAACAAACTTGAAGATCAACAACACTATTACTTTGATTTCAAGTAAGATCGATCTAAGCTACAGCTTACATATGGTGGGCCTGCTGTAAACTTTCACTGAAAATTTTGCCTAAGTAATGCTGCTTTTAATGTCAAAGATAACAAGTCAAAAGGACTTTGGAGGTGTCTTCAAACAGCTGAATTGTTACCCTACCTATTGGTATGTCACAGTTGGTTCCACTGAAACCGGTGTTACATGTGCATGAATAGGAAGTACCATCTGTGCTAGAGCAGACTCCATTTTGACATGGGTTGCTTGAACAAGGTGGAGCCACTGAAAGATAGATTTTACCAACTTAAAAATGAAAACTACACCAGAGTTTTTTTTTATGACTGAACACATTTTATGTTCCATTTTCAATGAGGGTTTGGTAATGACATTTAACTTCCAAAATGTACTTTCAGTAAAGTGAGGAGTTGAAGAAGGGGAAAAATTATTATTCAATTCTACAGCCGTTTTTATTGAAATCTGGAAAACATTTACAGTTTCAATCACTCTGCAAGAAATCAAGGCCAAGTTCTTTGCTCTTGAAAAGTAACAGGGTTGATCTCTTCCTTCCTCAATCTTGCCACATCTACATAATCTACAAGTTTGGAGGCTCCAGGAAGGTGTGGGAGAATTTGATTGAAGAATATGAACGATTTGTTTGGAAAAACATAAATATGCTCTGGGAGGGCTGACAATGGCAAACTTTGATAATGACATACCCTCACAACGAGTACCCTGAAAGCCAGTTGCACAAACACAAAAGAATCCACCACTTGCACTTTGGAAACAATTTCCACCATTCTGACAAGGCGATGACTGGCAGGGATCTAGCATAATAGTCACATACAAAAATCATACAACGGTCAACTCAATACTCACACTGACAGAAAATCATTAACAAAAATGAAGATCACTAACACTATTTCTTTGATATACTCCACTTTCATACAAGTACGATCTAGCTTACATATGCTGGGCTAGCTGTAAACTTTCACTGAAACCTTGCAGAAGTAAGGTTTGCATTAATTGTCAAAGATCAAAAGTGAAGAGGAATCAAAATGTCTTCAAATGTTTCAGTTGAATACCTAATTGAAGGAAGGGCCCAAATGCAACAAAATGTTTTTTGAGTTCAAAAGAAAAAGTAAGTATTTTTTGAAGGATTTGCAAGTAAATCAATTAACTCTCCCAGGACAAAATGGTGACATTGGGCCTTTCTTTAACCCTAACTCCTTTGGGTGTGTGCAAAATCACATTAAAATTTGAGGATTCAGGAATGTTAGGGTTAATGTGGTATTCAACTGTTAACCTACCTGTTGGTGTATCACAGTTGGTTCCACTGAAA